CCTAATATTCGCAAACCGATAATCTAACCACCTAACCACGCTCGCACGCTACAATGACTTCCTTAATACTTGAGGACATTTATGTTCACATTAATTATTAATTTACAAAAAATAATGTCTCTATCAGTAATTAAAACTTGTTACTCAGGGGTTTTTGGAGTCGCTGATTACGAATCTGAAGTCATTTTTTAGACATTCAAAATGGCGGATCCAATATGGCGGTCAAAATTCAAATTTGATCAGATTCGCATGAAACTTGTTACTCGGGGGTTTTTGTCGTCGCTGATTAAGAATCTGATGTTACTTTTTCAAAATTCAAAATGGCGGATCCAGTATGGCGGTCAAAATTCAAATTTGATCAGATTCGCATGAAACTTGTTACTCGGGGGTTTTCGGGGTCGCTGAATAAGAATCTGATGTCACTTTTAAAAATTCATAATGGCGGTTCCAATATGGCGGAAAAATTTTTAATTTGACGCAGTTTTCTTAAAAATTGTGACTTGGGGGTTTTTAGGGTCGCTGACTACGAATCAGAAGTCACTTTTTACGAATTAAAAATGGCTGTTCCAATATGGCGGAAAAAATTCAAATTTGATCAGATTCACATAAAACTTGTTATTTGAGGGTTTTTGAGATCGCTATTTACAAATTTGAAGTCACTTTTAAGAAATTCTTGCTTTCACTAATCTATAATGTAAATAATTTATTATTTTTACAAGTTTTAAGCGAATTGGATCATATTTAAATATTTTATTATCTATTTTGGATCCGACATTTTGAATTTTTAAAAAGTGATATTAGATTCGTAATCAACGACTCCAAAAACCCGTGAGTAACAAGTTTTTTGACAATCTATTTTGGATCCGACATTTTGAATTTTTAAAAAGTAAAATCAGCTTCGTAATCAGCGACTCTAAAAACCACCGGCTTACAAATATTATTCGAATCTGATCAAATTTTTAATTTTGACCGCCATATTGGATCCGCCATTTTGAAATGTTTAAAAATGACTTCAGATTTGTAATCAGCGAGCCTTATTCCTCTGACTGGGACCGTTGAAAGAGATTTACTTCGCGTGCCACATTAATAAACAAATTGGTTAAATAAACTAAAATGTTGCAAGGAGCTATTTTTTTAATTTTTTAAAAATATAAATTCATAATAATGAATAACTAATTAATAATTATAATATACTATAATATAATAATATATAGTAGTTGAATAAACTGAGACTAACAATTTGATTGTATAATACTAGACGCAAAATAATAAAAAATAATTAATTAAACTTTTAATATTAGGGACCGTATTTGTTCTGTTTGGGACCCTTATAAGGGAATTACTTCGCGTGCCATATTATATTCGAAAATGTGGAATTCGGTATCATCAATCGGGCCGTATTAGGCCCTGATAGGGAAAACGATATAATTTTTTGTTGGGGAAAACTGTTACGGGCCACAAAAGAGCCCTATTATTATCAGGGACTATAATGGCAATTTCTACACGGGAAATTAATTATGTGTGGAAGTTAACGATCACTCCGAGTTAGTGATGCACGTCGAACCGATAAATGCTCGACATCGTTCGAATCTTCTCGGTTGAAACGAACTTCAAGGAAACGATATTTTTGATTTTTCTTTGTTTTTGTTCGGCTCGTTTCGTTCGACAAAAATTGATTCTTGATGACATTAAATTATATTACAAATGAAGGGTGGCATGACAAAAGGTGGAAAATTATAATTTCATGATTTTACAGGAAACGAAAATACATTTAAAAATTTCCCTGCTCATTTAAGAAGAAGTCTAATAAAACTGCTTCAAAATATTAGTGCGCTTTACCGGTGGAAATACAATTTTTGAAGATAAATCTACATATTAGTGAGAAAAATAAGTAAAAGTGGGCCATTTTGGGGTTACGTCAAATGCGCATATTTTTTTATAAAATTAATTGTTAAATAAATTTAGAATTTAAAGAAAAACTAAGAAGTTTGTTTTTGAATAGTGAATTAAAAAATTGATTGCAAAAAAGTCTGTTTTAAAAAAAATGTTTGTTTTCTAAAAAAATTGTTAATTAAATGTTTACTTTTGAAAGTAAACAGTAGGTACCAACATTTTTAAATGCAAACTACAAACAGAAATATTTAAAAATTAACAGAAGAACAATATTTAAATTGTTCAAAATTAGATAAAGAATAAAACTTTCTAAATAGACATAAAATTTTTCAGCGAAATTTAATATATTTAATGATATCAAAAAGAAAGCAATATTTTAAACCATATTAACTTATATTCACAATAATATTTTTGATTCTTATTTTTAATATAAACGAGTTTAAAAGCAATTGACAAGAAAATCTTTTTACAGAACTGTGTAAATAAATTTACCTGATTTTTTTTATAAAAAATATCAATTTTGAAAAATTTTCACTTAACCCTTTTTGTCATGTCACCCTTCAAATAAGAAAACGTATCAATATTAATATACATATGTACAATATATATACAAAATATAATTATTTTTTGTAAATAAAAATTAAGTTAACTGTAGATATTTTGAAAAATTTGAGTACAAAAAATTATAAAAAATTATATTATAAATAATATAATAAAAAGTTAAAAAAAATTTTATTATCAAAATCTATTTAAATCTGATTGTGTTAAAATATAATTAATTACTAATAATTTTTAATAATATATAAAATATTTATTTAAATTTAAAGTTATACTGTAAATATTTATTGTATGAATTGATTTCATTTTGAAAATTAGCCAATAGATATTGAAAAACAATATTTTTTTTAGTACTAATTTCAATTTATTAGAAAAAACTTTGATCGACAATTCGTCGAGATTGTCAAATTTATAACGATCTGAACGATATTATTAAATAAAAAGACGATCATTTTTCTCGTAATTGTAATTTCTCGATCGTCTTGTCCGACGTGCATCACTACTCCGAGTCAAGCTTGACTCGGAGTTGCTTGACTCGGAGTGATCGTTAACTTCCACACATAATTAATTTGAAAACCGAGTGATAGAATCATTATTATATTATGAATTATTAAAGTTTTATTAAAGTTTTGAATAATTTTATTTAAAGATTCCAAATACAAAAAAAATTGATTCTTGAAAGAATTACACTTGTAATTTTTAGAAGTTGTATAATTAAATTTCAAAAAGGTTTTACATTAAAATTATATACAATTATTCTTCATACGAAAAAATAAATAAGTGTTTAAATATTTCTTATCAAAATTCTTGAATTTTTGAATAATTTAATTTAAGAAATTATAAAAAATAAGATTCCTTTTGCAATATTGTAGATAATCAAAATTTTTTGAAGATGGTTAAATTCTCGTGGAATTATTTCAAAAGATTATGTTAAATTTCCAATTTATTAGAAATCTTGTCAAATTTAATTGAAATAAATTTTATATTAGAAAGAATTTTTTTTTATTTACTTTTAATTATTATTTTTAAATAGAATCGTATTTTGAAGAATTTTAAATTAAAATTGTGAAAATAATTAAATTTTAGAAAAATTAAAAAAATTGAAGTTAATAATGACTATAATACCTAATTAGTTAAATTTTTTTTAGTTGAATTTATTTATATATACATATATTCATTTTTATAACTGAAGTTTTTTGTAACGAATTTAATTAGTTAAATTTGACTATTTTTTTAGTTATTTATTTACTATTAACTAGTAATTTTCTGCTAATAATTAGTTATTTTTTACTAATTGAGGAAGCAAAAACTTAGATACGATTTTACTAATAATTAGTTATTTTTAACTAATTCAGATTTAGAGATCAGAAAAAAAAATTTAGTAATTTTTGATTTTGAATTTAGTCATTTTTAAATTTAAGTTTAATAATTTTTAAATTGGAAATCAGTAATTTTTAAATTTAAATTTAATAATTTTTAAATTAAGATTTAGTAATTTCTAAATTTAAATTTAGCAATTTTTAAATTAAGATGCAGTAATTTTTAAATTTATTTTCGAGTTAATTGTATTAAAAATTGTTTTTGAAAAGTAGATTCTGCAATAAATTCCGAACAATGTGCGTTGTTTGTACCACAATCTAGCTTTTCGTGTTTAACGTTGAATTATGATTTTGAAAGTTATAAGTATAGAGCTTTTATAACTCAAGCGTGCAATTGGCTCCTGGAGAACTGCCAAACTCAAGTCTCAATTTAACGGACAAGAAAAATTTGTATTACTTTGCTATTTTACGTTTCGCTTATTGAAAGCTGATGCCAAACACATTTTCGATTGATAAAAATGTCCTCTTTTTTCAAATTATTTTTAGTCATTTTACTTCAGAAGTATTTCTACCTCTTACTACTCTTTACCTTTTTTCTATCCTTTACTCTCTTATTATTTTTTTTTATTTTTTATTAAAAAAAATATGTTTAGTCATTTTACTTCAGGATTTTTCTACCTTTTTTCTATCCTTTACTCTCATCTCTTAATTAAATTTTTTTATTTTTTATTTAAAAAAAAACATAAAAAATTATTTTCAGTCATTTTACCCTCAAGAATTCTTTTCTACTCCATATCCTTGACTCTTTTAATGAAAAAATGTTGTTTTCTTAATAAAAGAAATACTCTAAAAAAATTTCAAGAATTTTATTTCGAATTATTAAAGATATTGAATTTAATATTAATTCTTTAATCGCTGCTTTTTTAAAAATACCTTTCAAGCTATTTTTTTCTCTTTCCCTTAATATATAAAAGGAAAGAAAAAAATTCTGTAATCTTTAGTTCTCCAGCGTCATTATTAAAAACGACTTGAGAAATTTTTTGAATAAGAAAAGAAGAAGAGAAGTCTTGATAACAAAGAGAAGAAGGAAAATTACGTTTCCTTTTTTCATTAAAAAATCTCTCGGTTTTAATTTTTTTTTCACTTGATTTTTTTATTTTACAATTTTTATAAAGGTTGGAAAATAAAAATTTAGAGAAAAAAAGGAGAAATAAACTATTCAACACTTACCATAGCGAGCATATTTGCAGCTGGTGGAGTTACATGAGACCGAAAAAAGTTATGATAAAGGACGATTTTCCTTTGAACTTTTTTGTTGCTTGGCATTAATACTCTTGGGGGAATTTTATCCCCATACAAGCGTGGCACTGAAAGAATAACAAGAATCTTGTCTGGAAAAGTGTTGCACTTTTTTTTCTTCACTTGAGACGTATGAACATTTTTTGTGTATTTTTTTATTTATTTTCATTTTCACTTTGACAAATTTTTATTTTTCCCTTCATTTTCACTCTGTCTAATTTTATTTGTCGCAGAATCTACGTAATTATTTATTTGTTTTAAATAAAAATGTTATTCTACATAAATAAAACGTTTTTTTATAAGGTCTCAAGCCGTTAACTTCTATTTTAAATTTCTCCCCGCCAACAAACACGAAATGTTGCATTTTAAAGTGTTTTAATTATTTTAAGAAAATGTTTACGTAAATATTTCTAACTAAATATTTATTAATGTTGACTTTAAAAGTTTTAGTTTGTTTCAGTCTTATTTTATTACATATGCAAATAAATACAAAAAATTATGAATAAAAAATTTGTTTAATTCGTACTTTACTCGATTATCCGGATTTTCGATTATCCGGACAAGTGACTGCATCCATTAGTCCGGATAATGGAGTCTCTACTGTATATCTTTTTCTGAGTGTATCAAAGTGAAAGTGAAAATAAATATTTAACAATTTGAAAGTGAAAATAAAAAATAAAAATCTATCCAAATGGAAGTAGAAATGAAACCAAAAATAAAAATCTATGAAAGTAAAAGTAAAAATGAAAGTAAATAATAAAAAATCTATCAAAGTGAAAGTGAATGTGAAAGTGAAAATGAAAATAAAGGGAAAGTGAAAATTAAAATAAAAGTCAAAGTAAAAATAAAATGTTCTAATCGACCCCTGAAAAGAAATTTATTTGTCTCAAATTACATTATTTTTGACTTATTAATTATCAAAAATAAATTACAATTAATTATTTATTTGTTATTTTGTTTCTAATAGTTTTCTAGTCAAAATTAATTAATATTATTTCATGTCATTGACATTCAAAAATTCAATTATTCAGAAGAATTCATAAGAAAATTCTGAATGTTATTCTTCAGCATTGAAAAGATTTTATATATTTCAAACTCTTCCTGTTTTTAACAATAATCAGACTTTACAGATTTAAAATTGATTTTCTTAAATAATTTAATTTTTGAAAAACTATCGAGAAAAAATTATTTTTTATTAATTATTTTAGAATAATTTTTTATTTCAAAATTAAAAAAATAATTGAATTTTATGAAATTTGTATTTAAAATTTGTTTATAAATAATATAAATAAGTAGTAAATGTCACGCCCGCCAAACAAAGTATTTAATTTATTATTATTATTATCATTACTCAAAAGAAATTCGATTATCTTTACAAAATTTCAATAAAAAATTCTTCGAAAAATTTATGAATAATTACAAAAATGTTATCTTTTGAAATTATTACAGGTGACAGCTAAAAAAACGCGCGTGTAGTTTCTCCTAGTATTAATAGATATTTAATAATAATGCCTATTAACAATAAAAACTGGTACTTAATCACTTAACTACTTAATCACAAAAAATAATTAAAAAATTAAAAAAAAAAATTTTGTGCAAAAATTATGATTATAAAATAGAAATTATGCATATTTTTTTATTTAGTAAGAAAAATGAATTTCGTTAAAAATTGAAATTTACAAAATATATCACTGCTTTGCTAACTTTGCATAAAATTTCATATTTGTGCCTTCAAAAAATGAATTTAAAAATGTTTTGATAAAATCTTTTATCAGACTTAAATTTTAAGAAATTTTAATTATTCAATAAATTATTTATTTTCGCATTTAAATTATTGAATTCTCTAATAAAAATTTATTTCAAAATGAATTTCAGTTAAAGTTCTACATAATAAGTGAATATTAAAAGCATTATAGCATGAATTTTAAGAAATAATTAAATTTTAAAATTGTTCCAAATCAAATTCTTTAAAAATTTATATTTTTCATACTTATAACTAACAATTCTGTAGAATTAATTATTTTAAAAAAGTTTAATTGAATTTTTTTCTGAAATTATTTGAAGTATTTATTTTTTAATTCGTATTTAGTTGAAGAATTTCTGAATAATTTAAATTTCGTAAACAAATAGATTTTAAAATTCTCAAAGAACTTTTTTCAAAAATTATTAAAAATAATTTATTCTTGTGGGAAAATAATAATGATTAAAATTTATTTAGAAAAGAAGTTATTGATGTTTTCAAATAATTTTAGAATTAAAGAAATTCGTAAATAAATGTAATGGAACATTTTTTGGAGTATCTAATTATTTTTAGAGTGAATCAGAATATTCTTTAGAGTCAAGGAAGAAGTCAAAATTTTGTCAAGTAATAAAGTTTTTTATATTAAAAAAAAGAAAATATTTCACAGGATTTACATTTGTTAATTTTCTAAAATGTTTGTTACAAAATGCTAATTTTTTATAAACAAAGGAAATAATGAATAATATTAATAATTTTTTTAGATTAATGAAAATATTTTTGAATTATTTGAGAAATAAAAATAATATTATTAAATTAAAAAAAAATAACAAAATAAAGAAATTTAATATTATCTATCAAAACATATAAAAAACAAAAGCATGAATTTGGTTAAAAAATCGTTATTTTATATTTTATTTCTATTTTCTATCAAAACGAATAAAAAACAAAAGAATAACCATGACTAACTTCAGGTGTGGACAGACTGGACAGAATGAATGAATGAATACGACAATTATTATAGTTAATTCTAGTTCTAGTGAATATTTTTAAAAATCTATAAATTAATTATTAGATCAAATAATTATTTGTTTTTTATTTTTATTCGTTCAAATTTATTTTTAAAAATAAAATTAAAATAAAATTAAAATTCTTGACTTGAATAAAAATTATTTGATTCAAGTAAATATTTATTGTACACTGCAAAAGTGATCGATTATTTGTTACAAATAAATTTTTTTCTAGTGTTTAAATATTTACATTAATTATATATTTTATAATATTATTTTCACTCATCTAATTTTAATGCGAGCTTTGATTTTTGAGAAAGAGAATTTTCTTTTAATAAAAATTTAACTTTATAAACTAATAGAACTGAAGGGAAGAGTTTAAAAAGAGTTATTTCAATTAATTTTTCTCTACAGTCACTATTGAAATTACAAATATTGAATAAAAATTAAATTGTTAAATGGAAATCAATACTAACTGGGTTTATTGCGATCCACTTGCGATAGAACTACCGCCGGCAGTGCCGCTGTTACTGCAATAAAAGTCAAAATCCACTTCATAATTTTTTTTCAGAAGTCAATCTGAAACATAAAACGGCAGGATTTCTATTTAAAAAACAAGACTTTTTACAATTTATTTATTATTATTTGTTTATTTCTATATTTTGTTACTATATTATTTAAAGATTATATTATTATAAGTAGGATATTTATTCAAATACTGCTCTCCAAATCGAAATTAATAGTAAAATACTGGTAACAAATAGTCCCAATGGGAAATGCCAGTGTAGGGCCGATGTTCACCATAGGCTTAGTACTCAGACGATTGTTCGGCGTAGCAGGGATCACAGTGGCATTTCCATTTGAAAATAGGTAAAAAAGGGGATTTTTCAAAATAAAAAAGGTGATTTTCCTTTAAAAAAGGGGATTTTGAAAAACACGATAAAAATTATTTTGTTACAACATACAGGGTTTATTTTCTTAAACTTTTATTTTTCCTTCTATTTACAGCTTTTTGGATTAAATCTGACTTCTTTTGCTCCTTTTTACTTAAATAATTTAAGAAAAAATAGCCATTTTTTTCTTTTTACGGTATAATATGGAGTTTTCTAAGGTTTGTTTTATGTTGCGCGCTATTTAAACATTTTACAAAAATAAAATCAGGGTGTCCAACAAGGAGTAAGAAAAAGGTTTCCTGACTTTTTACTTTCCTTATTTCTTCTTCGACTATAATATGGTTGATAAAATATAAGAAAAAAGTAATCTCATACTTTAGGCTTGCTAGGGCGAGTCTGACTCTGGGATATGTCCCGATAGCGTGGAGGGGTACAAAAGTTGTATTCATACCTAAAGCGGGCAAGAACGGTTATACCTCACCGAAGGATTTCCGTCCTATTAGCCTTACATCCTTTATCCTAAAATTAGTTGAAAGGTTGGTGGATAGATATATTCGCAGTGAGATTTTGGAGCGGTTCCCGCTACAAAAGGATCAATATGCGTATAGAGCGGGATGCTCTACGGAAACAGCTCTGGCTAGAGCAGTAGACCTAATTGATGGGCAACTGCAGAATCAGGGCTTTGCTGTGGGTGTTTTTATGGACATAGAAGGAGCTTTTAGTCAGGCCTCTCCGGAATCCATAAAAAGAGCTATGACAGCTTTTAATATTCCTACAGGAGTGGTTGATTGGACCTGTCATATGTTAAAAAACAGGAACCTCTTATCAACTAAAGGAGACTCAGTCCTGAAAGGGACAGTCAACTCTGGATGCCCCCAAGGAGGTGTTCTTTCACCCTTGCTCTGGTCCTTGGTAGTGGATGAACTACTGAGAATTCTGACCGAAGCAGGATACCATGTAATTGGTTATGCGGATGACATTTTGTTAATCGTTCGCGGTCCCCACCTTGAAGTTATACTCGAAGTGGCCCAAAAAGCGTTAAACCTGGTAGATAAATGGTGTGAGAAGGTGGGTTTATCTGTAAATCCGGGGAAAACGGAAGCGGTTATCTTTACCAGACGGTACAAGTGGAAAGCCTCGTGCTCACTTACGCTGTCCGGAAAAGAGATCAAATACACAGAGCAGGCAAAATATCTAGGAGTAATCCTGGATAGCAAACTGCTTTGGAAAAAGCATTTAGAGGAAAAATGTAAGAAACTTACAGCTGCTCTTTGGCAAAGTAGAAGGGCCATTGGTGGTAGCTGGGGTCTCAAACCGGATACACTATTGTGGATCTATGAAGCAATTCTGCTCCCTAGGCTGACCTATGCTTGTGTGGTCTGGTGGGGTAGAGTTGAGCTAAAAACAGCACAAACAGAATTGGAAAGGGTAAGGGGGATGGTACTTAGAGGCATAACGGGGGCGGTGCGTACAACTCCCACTGCTGCCCTTGGTGCCCTCTTGGGGCTAGAACCCTTACACCTTACAATTAAAGCAGCGGCGGTTAAGGCTGCCCTGCGGTTGAGTGGTCCTGTGGGCTGCAGGGAGGTGGGCAGATGGCGTCTCCCAAAGAAATTGGTGAGAATCCCCCTTCTAAGTATGATTAGGGACAGAACTGTCCCTTTGTATCTCTTCGACAAAAAGTATAGGATTAATATACCTAGTAGAGAAGATTGGATAAATGGACTGACAAGTATTCCAGCTGACTGTGAAGTCTGGTACACAGATGGAGCAAAAGGCGGGAATGGAGTTGGTGCAGGAATCTATCATGTAACCTCCCAAGTGGGACACTCCTTTAAGTTGGGGACCACTGTTACTGTGTTACAAGCCGAAATTGTGGCAATATTTTATGGTGCTGTTAAAGCCTTGAAAAATTGTCACAACAAAGATATTTTTATCCTTTCGGATAGCAAGGCGGCCATTTTCTCCTTGAAACGATACGTATCAACATCACGGCTGGTCGGTGATTGTCATGAAGCACTTAACAAACTAGCTGAAACGAACCGCGTTACCCTCCTGTGGATCCCTGGTCACAGTGGATTCGCGGTAAACGATAGGGCGGATGAGCTAGCCAAAGAAGGGGCTAGAAAACAACTTATTGGACCTGAACCTCCCATTGGTGTTTCCAACAAATGCCTGACACTGGAAATTAAACAGTGGATAGCTGCGGAACACCAAAGGGAATGGCAGGTAACTAAGGGCTGTAGACAAGCCAAGGTACTCATGGGAAGTAGTATTAACCCTATGAGGAAAGCGGAATTCCGCAAATTAAATAGAAAAGAGGCAAAGATCATAACGGGGCTATTAACTGGCCATGGTGATCTGCGCTATCATAGGCACAAAATGGGGATCCTAGATGACCCGAAGTGCCGTAGGTGTGGAGAGGAATATGAAACCCCGATACACATCTTGTGTCACTGCCCTGCACTTGTGAAGGAGCGGGAACACATTACGGGCTACTTCTTTCTGGGGGAGACCGTTATCGCTACCAGAAACCTGGCCGAAGTCCTCCTGTTGTGGAAAGGACTTCGGATATAGGGGTGGTTATGGGGAACGTAAAGGGATTACCCAAGCGTTAGTGGCGTTGACCTGCAAGGTCCTAAGTCCACAACCCTCTTCTTAATAATAATAATAATCTCATACTTAGAGGAAAAATCCTCTTCTAATATCCTCTTAATGTTTTCCTCTCAATACAAAACTATTCGACTTGAATGTATATTATTTTTATTATTAATTAATTCATTGTTTTATTATTGACATTTGTCAAAAACATTGAATATTTAAAGGAAATAAATGAAGGAATAAATATATTAAATAATGTAAGTAATTAACTTTTAGTTATTAAATATAATTATTTTATTTTTGACCCGTAAATTGTAAACGGGTTAACGAAATTGTAAATAAAATACACCGTTCGAAAGGTAACAGAAATACGCAACTTTTATAAAAAGAAAGTATAGTGTTTCGATGAAGTCAAAAAATTTTACGATACATTTTCCGAGCACATCGCTTTTTTAAAAAAAAAACAATGTCTCCAGTTGTGAGACACTCATTAAAAATTGCTAAAATTTAATAAGTTTGACATAAAACGTTATGTTTAGTAGAAATAATTAAATATATTAATAATATATATTATTATATACTAAATAATAATATTTATTCTTCAAAATATGACTATCAAATAAACACAATTTAATAGCTTCAACAAGAGCATTAAAATTGATTTCTTCTGAATCAATTGACTTTTTTCCACTTGACATGCCCAAAAATACTAGAAAAAAAATCAAAACAACATTTAAATAGTATGCCTGCAAAGTCGTATTTTTTATGCTGCCCAGATGGGTGTTGACACCGTCTTACAACTGGTGATATGCTGTGTCTCACACCCAGAAATTGGCGTTATTTTGAAAAAAGAAAAATTAAATTATTTTCAACCGTAGATTGGAACAATGCAATATTGCATCACAAAATATAAGGAAAACACTAAAAGAAAATGCATTACATTTACCTTTTCCAATTAATTAACTTGGAAAAAAAGTACTTTGCATTTATTGAAAAAACGCTTTTTAGTCGATTATCACACACAGTGTTGGTATTTAACAAAAACAGTTTATATATCCGCTTCGGCGTACACGAAAAAGGTGGCTCATATAAGAGGCATTATTCCTGAACTGCCCCAAAAATAAAAAAAAGTTCTTGGATTTCCTTTATACTTTGGAAATATGTTACCCTAGTAGGTACAAGTTACTACACCAATTTACAGGTCCAACCCCCCACCCCAATCAAAAGGGTGGGGGGTTGAAATTTCAGCTTCAACTCGAACATGCATTCTTTAAACATTTGTAGTTTCTACTTAAATTATTCAATTAAAAAAAGTAAGTAGTGTTTTAGAAAGGTTTTTTTGTGTACTTTTAAAATATTTTATTTATATAATAAAAAAAAAATTTTTTTTGCAAAAATTTTTTAAAATAAATAGTTTTTTGCAATTTTGTGCAAGTTCGGTAGTTTTTATTTTCTTTTTAATAATCTCAAATGAAAGCTTGGGAATTCCCCTAAAAGAAGATATAAGTCTGAAAATGGGCCGAAACAATTTGCCAAAGATATAGTGTAATAAGTAAAATTTGTCCGTCCGCTCGCGCACTCCAGCGCGATGAACAGTGGGATTTTTTTTCAACTTACTATTGAAAATTGTCTAGAAACTATAAATTTTATCGGATGTTGATGTTCTTGATTTAAAATTACTAAGAGATCCATCAAAGTCGATTTTTGAATTTTGAATTGTTTATTTTTTTCTTGTTACTCAAAAATTTGACAAATTACAATATTTTTAGAAAAAATCATGTTAGTTTTTTTATTTTTCCATTACACATGATCGAAATCAATTTAAATTAGTCTAGTATGACCACCGGACAATTAATAAAGCATAATACAATTAATTTAAATTGTTGCAAACAATGTTAATTAACAAATAGATTACTTCGGACCTTCTTCATAAAAAAAATTGGTTTTTTTGCAGACAAGTTTAAAGTTATGTCTAATTTAGTAAAAAACTATTTTACAGTTAAAAATTATCATTAATATTAACAATTATATAAACAATAATCAACTTCCTTTTGTATTTGTAAACATTTTCGTCATTTTTCAAAC